TGAATCAAATTTTAGAGTAGTATTTGAGATGTACTATTAATTACTATAAAGATGATTGGACAACTCTTTTGCCATTAGTAAAATTTGTTTATAAGGATATAATACATTCTTTTACTTTAAAAATATATTTTTATATTAATTATAATTATTATCAATAACTTGATACTTTTGACTTCTCAAAAATTAAAAATCTTGTAGGAAAAGATTTAAGAAAAAATATTAATAAGAGCTACATATAACAATGAAGGTACAATTAAAAAAACTCAAGAACAACAAAGAATCAATATAGATACCTATTGCAAAGAAAAATCTTAATTCCATGTTAGCATTAAGATATAATTATGTCATTATAATATCAAGATTAATTGTCTTAGTGACAAGTTCGATTATTATAGACTTAGAATATTTTTTTTATGTGAATATATCAATCTAATTGCTTATTAATTATATCTAACAAAGCCTCTAAAAATCTATCATGTACTTTACATGTCTCTTTTTGAGCAATACAAGATAATTGATATACTTGAAAGAAAACAAATGCCACTTTTTTTTTAGAAATTGATAATAATTAAGAATTTGAAGTCAAAAAAATCTCAAATTTTGGACAATGCCAAAATAGATTGGAATATCTTATATATTAGCACAAGTATGATATTAGTGAACATATATAGCAACCAATCAAGAATCTTATAAATACAATGAAAAAGATTGATGCTTTTTAATAACAACATCCATCAAAATCAAGATAAAGAGTTAAGTAATTATTTGCTATAAAAAATAATATTCTATAAAGATTATATTTTATCTTTTATCTTTATTTATGGTTTTTATTTATTTATTATGCTAAAAAATAAAGAATTAACAACAAATAGATTTAACTCAAGAATTATTGGAGAAAACATTAAAATTATTACAACCTTCAAGACAAGATAATAAAGATGAAGACCCTTAAGAACAACATGTTTTTCTTTGAATTGATGGTAAAATACAATGCATTTGATATCACAACCTTCAAAGAGACTTCCAATATTTGATGATATTAATAGAGGTAGGAACCACCTTTGATAGTATTTCAAATTTTTTATTTAAAAAAAGTTACAAAGGCCTAAAAAATGATTTAATATCTAGATGGTCTTCTTGCTTTGATATAAGATACTAATAATGGCTGAAAAGACTTATCAACTTCTTTCAAAAGGAACAATGATTAGAACATGTGGCAAATACAATTTGTTGCATCTTGGACTTTTTCAACATGTGATTACTATTCTTTGTGGAACTTGTACATAGAAGAGAGTTAATGTCACTAACATATATATTTACTTAAATTAAAATAATAGATAAAAATAAATAGAAGTAAATAGATTTGATAATATTTTATAGAAAAGTCTCTTAGAAGCTTAATAGATGTGGATTTGATTTTACATGTATTTATAAGTGATTAGTAGATTGAAAACTTAGCTAACAAGTTGGCCATGTAGTAGACATGTAGGAAACTTGTCTTGCTTGTTGATATATGTCTTGCAAGTTAGATACATATTGAAGGTTCTATAGAAAATAGCCATATAGGTCCTAATTAGATAATATATATAGAATCAAGAGTAAAGTCTTTTTTTATTCTTATCAATATCTTTCTTATTCTTAGTCATATTTCAAGAGTTTATAATTTCTAATTTTTATTTTTGTATATTTATTTTTTTCCTTTAAAATAGCCATTTTAGTTCAATATTTTACCATCTTTGAGTAATTATTTATTCTTTTTTAGTGATACAAGAGTATATTGGTCATTAGATTCTTTGTGATTCATGTCTTTGGCAACATCTTATACAAAATCTATGTAAAGACCTTTTTAAAAATAAATGCAAGTAATATTTACAAAGATTATCCATCCAAAGTAAGTAATATTTTTTTGATTTTATATTATATCTTAAATTACATATTAATTATTCAAAAAATTATAAAATAGAAAAAATCATTTAATTAACTTCTTTTTATGTTCAATGTTGATTTTACTAAGACATGTGATATACTATCATAGAACTCCTTATTTTTAAAATTATCAAGTCTTGGTTTCAAGAAAAACTTGTAGATATGATTAAAATTTTATTTTTAAATATAAAAATTGTAATTTATATAAATGTCAATGTCACTATTCTTTTTGCATTAAAATAAATGGTAGAAAAATAAAAAAATAGATAATAAGCTATTGTAAATATAAAATAAAAAGATAGAACTATTTTAAAGAATTTAATAAAATATTTAGTTAATTTAGCATTAAATTTGATTAAATTGTCAATTAAATTAAATTATCCATGTATTAGCAAAAAAAAAGAGTTTAGAATTCTAATAAAGAATAAATTATATGTAGTCTTAGATACAAAATAATAAAATTATAAAACTCATAAATATTCCATTTGGCCTATTTTTACAGTTCAATGTGTTAATAAAATTTGGAAAATACACTAAAAACCTAATTAGACTATGTGTATTTTGCAAAGTTAAATAAAAAATAGAAAAAATATTACAAATAAAATCCTATATTCATTTATACTCTTTTTTATATTAATATAGGAAAGTTCTTAAAAAGTCATAAAGAAGATTTTTACAATGGATAAAAACTTTATAGAAAATAAGACCTCATATCTTCATAGAGCAACATCTAATATTTACATAGAATAAAAATAACTTAAAATGTATGTTATAAATATAAAAAAAGGTTGTAGGAATTGGATTGATTGTACTAAAAGAGGCATTGGTAGATCTCATACTTAAAATGATTATATTTATACTTCAACCGAATCATTCTAGCATCAAATTATTCATTGAACAAATCTTCATGGTAGCTATATGTAAAATATCAAGTAATGGGTTGCTTAGCTGTACATGGATCTTCCTATTACAAAACAAATAGGAGTACAGATCTAGAAATCAGCAATAGATAGGAAGAGCATGTTCAAAATTGTCACCACATTTAAATCTAAATCATCAAATTCTTTCTACAAAATATATGATAGACTTATTTAGTAGGACATATTTATTTTTATAATTTTTTAATCCAAACCTCAGGTAGAAATTAAATTGCACAAAACGGATATGCAAAGAAAAAAAATCCTTTATTGTAGAAAATTTTAATAATATATGAAAGAGTGATGTGAAACAAAATTATAACCCATTAGGAAGTAACCAGTTATTTTAATTAAATTGTTTGTCTATATTTGTATCATATTAATTAGACCTACTAATTGAAGATGTGTTACTTCCAACCAACAAAGACCACATATGTGGTCATGTAAACACCCCATATATTGTTAAAATGTCAAGGTTGCTATTGCTTATAATAAAAAAAATAAAACTTCATCAACCCCAGCCCCATGTAGATCTTGATTCTCTAAAAAAAATGTATCTCAACATGATTCACTTGTGTCCATAATCATGTACACAATAATAAGATTTGTTGTTGACTCTATCCCTTTCCTTCTCAGTGTTGTTCAAAAGTGCACCTCAAACACCAAGGTTGGATACCAGATAGGTGTAAGAACACCCACTTCAATTCATCCCTAGGAAATATCTACATTTCACATGGTAAGTTTGTGAAATAAGCATTAAGTAACAAATATATAAACCACCCTCAATCACCATAATTTATGCATATTACCCAATTTTCTGCTATTAATACTGAGTCACAAATAGAATAGATTGTACTGCAGCCATGTATTTGGCGGCTGCAATAGGAAAATGGCTTGAAAGTTGTTTGTAGAACTAGGGGATTAAAAAGTAAAATTACATCCAAAGACAAAAAAAAAAAAAAAAAAAAAAAAAATGTGTGGTCGCCTATCTTAGCTTAAAGCATTCTCTATTGAATATTCAATCCATGGCCTTTTGAACCCTTTAAGGATAGAAATGTTTGTGGGTACACGAACTCATGGTCATTTCAATGAAGAGGGCTTGCATCAACTTGTGGTACAGCCCATGAGAAAAAAATAAGTGGGTCTCTAATGGACATAGAATGCTTGTGTGTAACTTTGAGGTGTATTATTAGGGTTGTGCAGAGACTGTTCTTGGATGAGAAAATTTGAATGACAACAAAAAAGGATGGAAAAAAACACTCTTTTGCTATGGGTTTAGGGTTAGGAGTTTACTGATTGGCAATGCTTAAATGCTATTGGCTGCATCTCCTTTCAACCTTGTTCCCTTTCCAACCACCACATACAAAATTAAAAATACAATCTCCATTTCTCAAATTGCCAACTTGGTTAAACCAAAGTGTGTCTCATCTTACTAATTTCTAACTTTGTCGTTTCCCTCAGGCTGCATACAGCTGAGCGGTTGTACTATTTTTCCATGCAGTGAAACCTGTGTTCATTAGTGCCGAGAAAAATAAATAAAAAGAAAAAGAAAAAGAAAAAGTGTGTCTCATTTGCCAATTACCACTCCACTTCCTGTGATAAAATCTAATCGAATACTAGACGGTTTACTGCAGGGGAATGTTAAATAGACTCAGGTAAAAACTTGGGTGTATTTAACATTCCCCATAATATATGAAGAGGATTTACCTCATTTAGCGCGATGTACCTAACATCCCAACTGAGGCCACTTATTCATCCGCTTAGTAACAGAATTCCACCTCTACAATCATGATTCTAGAATCTCTGAGAAGGTACAAAGAAGCTGCGCTCGTAGATGACGAACAGTTAACGCGACAAGATGAATGAATGGAGTTTTCATCCCTCTAGGTGCAGAATCTCATCTCCACATCATGACTCTGTAGAATCTTCGATTAGGGACATGGTAGCTGCGCCGGTAGACGGCAATAGGGGAACGCGACTGGATGGGGCGGGTGGAGTTGACCGGATGAAAGGGTGGCGGGGTTAATGCTGCAGCCAACATCCCGCAGTGCCCTACGGGGTGGGAGCAGTCAGCACGAGGGGAAATACGCTTCTACTCTAATATGGTTCAGCCGCGAATTTAGCTGGTCTGTATAGGTTGAACAGTTTAGCATGTGTTTGCATAGAGAAAATAGTGAATGTCATAAGTTCAGCATACTGTAGGCATGTCGTTTACAGGGATGACAAGTTGAAATCAAACTCGCTTATCCTGAACTGGTATTCCGTACTTGTTAGTTTTGAGTTACATAAAATTTTGTATAAGCAACCCTTTTGAACATGTACAGTTTTCAGGTTCAGTCAACTTACGTTTACTTATCAAGCGAGATAGTTGATTTGACAGTCAATGCTCTGATATGATTATGCGATCATGAGTTCCCTTGTGCAGTTTAGCACTGAACGCGTGCATACCACATGCCCCTCGTGTGCTTAGTTATAGTGCAGATTCTCGATTTTGTTTGGTAGGATTTTCGTGCGTCTAAGTTGAGCCTCAGACGATTGGGCACACAATTTAGACTCAATTTGATAATCTCAGCGATGTTTTTCCAGAGTCACGAGTATTCCTCAGCCTTGCAACAGTGCTCACTTAAAACACTGCAATCGGTCCTTGTGAATTTTGAAATAAAGCTGTTTAGATTGCGTGTCCGACTGTACTTACTGGTTCTGATTGCGTTGGTGTTTTGATACATAGAAAGGAGACGGGTTACCGCGTGGTTTAGCAGCCTGTGGTAAAAAAGACGTCAAGTCTGCATTCTAGAGAAACCTCTCAAAAGAGCAAAGAAAGGAAGTCGAAGCGGAGAAGGGGAGGACGGAATAAGCACGCTAAAAATCTTTTTCAACATGAGTTGCAACGGTTGCCGTGTGCTGCGCAGAGGGTGCAGTGACACTTGTATTCTACGTCTCTGCCTGCAGTGGATTCAGACCCCTGAAGCTCAAGGGCATGCCAGTGTTAGTGGCTAAGTTCTTCGGTCGGGCAGGGCTCATGGGCTTTATTAGCGCTGTGTCAGAAAATGAACGATCTGGTATGCATTGATTCCTGTTGCAACTACTGAAACATTGTTGAATCAATGTTTCGTACGGTTACAGATTCACCTGTTCGCTTGGACGATCTAATTTCTCATTTTAGAGTTAATTTTGTTTATCTTTGAGAACGGTGGGATGAATTTGGACTATGTGTGTGTCGTGAGGTTATTTGGAAGTGATTGGGGTTTTTTTTCTTTACTCCTTGATGTGCAGCATTATTTCAGTCTTTGCTGTATGAAGCCTGTGAGCGAACGGTAAATCCAGTGCTTGGCGCAATGGGCCTTCTTTGGAGTGGAAATTGGCAAATCTGTCAGGCGGCTGTGGATACAGTTCTCAAAGGAGGCCTCATTCGCCCTCCGCCTCGCCCGAATTACACAACACCATGTTTCCCAGCTTTGGACATGTGTGGGAACTCCTCTATTCCTTCAGCTGAGGGAGTCGATGACCTTACTCAAATTACTTTATCTTCAAACGCATCCGTAATGAGTTCTTTGGATACACGCACCATGAGCCCTGGAATTGGATTGCCTGAAGCAAACTACCAGGAGTCTAAAGAATTCCCAAGCAGTATTCGTGACAAGGCTAACAACAGTGGTCAGCATCTGGAAGCAGTCGTGCCACAAAACGCGGAACCGAATTTCATCTGTCAAGAGCATAGACAATGTGACAGCTGGACCCAGTCAAAGTCGGATAGAGAGTTTCACAAAGATGAGCTTGGGCACGAGTTTTTCGAGTTGAAGAAGAGAACTACAGGGGCGTTTGTAGCTTCTCGACGGGTCAGGGCCCGAGTGGAAGCAAGCCCGCCGGCACCTATACGCTCAGGTGGAGGAGTGCATGAGGATCTACTCGTGCCAGCTCATGGAGACGAGCAGCTTGAGTTGGATTTGAACTTGAAAGTAAAAGGAGAGAAGGGTGGGAGGTTGATGGGAAATACCAGACTGTCCAGTCCTTGTGAGTCAGTAAATTCTCAAGGATCTGTCACCAGTCTAGACAGTGCACTTCGTGAACCTTTAAAGCCGCTCAACGGTGCATTAGGGGTACAATTTCTGCCATCACCCTATTGTACGCTTCTTCCTCTTCTTCAGTGAGTACGCAGCCCCTCAAACTAGTGTAAGGGACGCCGAAGGAAGGTACTGGTGTGCTGCAATTACTAATGCATTTCAAATTTGTACAAAAGTATTTCAAGGGTCTTTCTTCGGGCGTCTCAAAGTTGGAAGGGGCAGAAAGTTCAATAATGGATATTCAGGAGTCGTGAAGATGTATAATGGTGGTGATAGGATCGTTGAATCACACCTCATGCATCAATACCATTCAAGTACGAATAGTAGCATGTTCATTTCCTCAACTGTCCTCAGTTTCAGTTTTGTAACAAGTGATCTATGCTACATCGCAGAGTCACTACTTGTAGAAATTAGCCTACCCAAGGTGGGGTTTTGGTTACAGTGAGTGTAGCTTGCCGGAGTTCGTAGGATGAAAATAGAAGAGAAATTAGCACGGAAGGACGATAACAGCACCGGTAGAGTGTTCCTTGTAATTTGGCAGAGATGAAACATGAGAAACCTCAAATGATTTGATCGTTTGGTGATTCAGGGTCATCACATTGACAGCAATTGGATTGAGGGATCATATCTTGAAAACGTTTAGGTGCATGTTTTTCACATGCATGAATGGAGGATCTAAGTGCAATTTGAAAATCTGTGGTAGCTCTTGGAACAATGTCATGAGAGGCCGCCGAGGTTTGCGTAATCTGTGCATGAACAAGACTACCTTGGTAATTTTGTAACGCTAATGTGCATGAACGGGATTTGAGCAATCTGTACTCACAGAATGTCACTCGTCAGTACCCTTGCAAATCGGTGCAAGTTGAACATGCAGACTGCTGTCTCAAGTTACTGACCAATTCCAAAACCCTTTGGCTAAGGAGGATCAGAGCATCTTATTGTATTAAAGACACCGTTTCGATGAAACCCACCTCGGTATGTGAAAGTAAGTTGCCTATCTCACCACTTTTGCTCTCTGGGTACCTTATTATGCATCTTCTAAAAATACTAGATTCCTTATCCCCGAGATATCATGATACCAATTTAGAAGATTCTAGGCCAAGAGTTACTCAAATAACCAATAGCATGTCGAAACTGTCACGTCTATCAAGGAGAACCGAATCGAGATCGGCCAAGGGCCCGGGCCTAATTCTACCCTATACTCTACTCTTTAGTTATAAACTCTACCTCTTGCTTATTCTTTCATATCAAAGGTTAATAATTATTGGTTTGTGTAGTAAAAGGTCTTTTTTGATGTATCTAAATAATACCGCAACGCCGTTTGCTACACTGTAAGTGCTCATGTCTAAAGATGAGGCATCAATCTGTAAGTAGTTGCAGTAAGTGGTGCATCGGAACGTGTGAATCAGATGCCGACGGAGAATCTGCATTATATTCAGGGATAGCACGTGAAGCACACGGAGGAATTGAAAGTAACATTTTCGCAGAGAATCATGACCCTTAAGCGCCCAGAACGACGGCTATGGTGTTTCTGTAAACGGCTAAGTTGTGAACGCCTCCACCTCTTTGTGATACTCAACTAATGCAGTAAAATGTTGTTAGTTCACTTGGTTGAGCGTTGTATCGAATCCACGGCTAGGTGTTTTATATTGTTCGTGGAGTCTTTTAACTGATTTACGACTTATAATGTAGGGTGTGATTTGTGTGTTTTAATAGCTTGCATTGCTGATCAATGCAGCAGCATCTGGCATTGCAAAACTCTATCAATGGGTGTAATATGAAACCTCCAGGACTCAAAATGCAAATTTGGGGCTTAAATCCATGAACTGTGAAGCCTAACGAATATGTGCTGTCAAGTCGCCCACGATTGTTATCTTCGAGCCTTTGAGATACAGTGAAGCATATGTGCGAACAGTGCACGGTGATGTGCGGATAATCGTGCTTTACGAGAACATGAATTTATACCATTAACTGCATTAAGGCTTAAATTTTGTCCTAAAAACATATTCCTAGTGCGAGTTACGACCAGTTTCTCATAACCAATCCATTGCAGTTACATTATTTTCTGCCGAGACTGGTTGCTAAATGCCAGAATCCTGAAAAATTTACAAACATTTTCCACGTTTCACGTCCATAATCACATGGTAAAGATGCCTCAGGTAAACAGGTTAGATTCATGTGGAATTAGTGCCAACGATTGACATCAGAAGAACTCTGCATTTGATTAGTTGAACAGTAGCTGATTCTCAACAAGAGAATCAAGCGAGTCAAAACATCAACTATATTTTTTATTAGTGGCTTTGTTTCTAAACAGTGTTCAAGCACTGGGACACTTGCCTTTTTCCTGCCACATGTGGATACGCTTGTTGCATTCCCGATGGATTTTCAGAACGATGTATGTTATTGACGTTCATACTGAATGTGGGGAGAGTTGACTCCAAACAAATCAAGCATGCCCCTCTGGACTGGAGCGTCCACAACAGAAACACAAGCAAATTCATGCGGATAGATCACTGGACTAGCGAGAAGAGTCTTTCATGTTTCAACATAGCTAAGACGAGTTGTAGACTATGGAAAGTTGGCCATGTCCTGGCCAAGTAGGCTAATGTCGTGACCAAGCTGCCGAGCCGACTCCCTGATTTTGTTCAGTTTCTTGCGATGCATGTTGTCCAGCATTTTTGGAACTAGCTCCACAACTTTCGTAATGACGTCTCCGTCTGGAAGAGCTCTGTCTGTGTTATAATGGGGCACGACCGCTGCCACATATTTGAGCCACATTCGTTATCAACACAGGAATGTGCACAGGGCAACCAGAATTGTTGCTAGGTGTGGAGTATATATACAAAAAAACGATGGCCAGTTTGCTGTAATTAGTTTTACTGTGATACAGTTTTCGATGTTTGCAAGCTGGGATATGTGAGCTCCATGGACCTCACCTGGGGTTGTTAGAAAGGTGACACACCGCCGGGGATGTGGAAACTGCGAGTTAGTGTCATTTTGGTCCAGTTCAGTGCCGTCTTCAAGCCTTAAGCTCTGCACACATCAAGATTTTTTTCGGTTATGAGGTGTGTTCTTAATAGCAAGAATTCTTACCGGCAAGCAGTTAACCATCAACAGTATTCTAGCATCGCAAAGATGTAGGTTGCATCAAATTTCTCCTTAGAGTGGGTTGAAATCTTTTACCTCAAGTGCCATTAGCACTTGGTGGAAGCGGAGAGCCTCTAGGGTGGAAAATTCTTCATTCCTAAATCGGCCCGACAGATGGTGATTTCGCACATGGAAGTGGCCTGAGCAACTCCGTTTCTCGAACGCCATTGATGGATCCGGGAGAAACGCACAATCGGTGCTAATTTCTGCTGCTACAACTTCCGTTTCAAATCTAAAAATACAAAATAAAAGGCATTGCATTTTTCTTCACTTGTTCACCGACAATATCTTGACAGGAGAACAACAAGCAGCTGCGATTTGATTGACCTCAGTTGCTATGGGAATACTAATTCAAAACACGAGACATAATATACCCGTCTTATCACGGTCCATTCGATTAAAAATGACATGTTGTAGCTGAGGACTCGACGATGTAGAACTGCCCACTTACTTGGTGAGAATTGGCGGCGAGGTAGTGAGATTGCGCGTCACCAAGACATCCAACATAGGAACGGTGTCCTTGTGACCCTGAAAGTAGAAGTCGCACTGTTCAAGTGGAAGAGAATGCGCAGCTGCACCACCTCGCCATCCTATAAGAGCTAAAAACGCAACTAGCACCCAAACCTGCCCCATGGTCCCGGTCATGCTTCGGATCATCTCACTCGTGTAACCTCCCACAATCTGCACCTCCCTTCTCTGATCACTGACCTACATCTCTCGTTACTCGTTTCGAAGGGACACAGTGGGGAGGAAGGGATGAACCAGCTGAATGTGTAATCGCCGATCTCATTGACATTGCACAATAATCAGTTATGGAAACCATGGCGTCGATCCGGTGAAGAGGCGGCCAAGATCATCACGCCTAACAGTTTTCGGGACCAAAATCTCCATCCCCAACCGCTGCTGCGGGGCTCCAACCCATTATTCAGTTAGCACCCTTGGTACTTATGTGGCGCTGCCTGCACAAACGACGAGTTATTCTATGTGCACGTGTCTCGGTGAATCCTTATCCCAGTGTGAATCGGTTTTCGTGAGCCTCGAGAGGAGGAACTGGGCGACGCAGTCTTGACATTTCCGCCAGGTTTGAAGTTTGGGGACAATATTGCCAGAATCAAGGCTCAATGATGACCACATCAGCGGAGTACAAAATCGTTAGGGGAACGCAATGCTTCGTCTTGGAGCGATGATTTCTTGATGATCTCGGACATGGAAACCATGTGGGTCCACTGAAATAGGTTTGAAAGTTTTTCATATATTTGAATATAGCCAGCCAGTCAACAAATCGAAGAAACAACGTAGTTGTCACAACATATCATTTATACTGTTAACAATAGTGCAAGACTTGCTTTATGACTGCAGAAACGATACCTTCCAGCAAACATCTATAAAAGATAAATTAATTGGCCCAATACTTTAGTTGTGAGATATCCGCACATTCAAAGGAAAAGATTTTATGTCAGGAATGTCTGAGACCGAATTATTTGATGTCAGGAAATTCTAAGACCAAATTGTTTCACTTCGTCTACGTAATTGTTTCAGAAGTGTTCAAGTGTTTACCTCTGCAGACGTAAGATAAATTTTTGACAAGTACGTACTTTTGACCTATTCAAACATCGAAAGTGTTCCGCAACATTGAGAGCCATATCCTTCCAACGACTGCAACCAGTTCTATCATCTAGTTTCTCCCTCGTGCAAATTCCACAGTCAACCGAATCAGAAATCAAAAGCTTTGAATCATTGCAGACCAAGACTCAATTTTCATTCATCGCGGCGGTGGATCCGCTAAAAAATCCAATGCCTACGGCGGCCAAAAACTAAAACATACTTCCGGAATTTACAGGCTTGTCAATGTATTCATAGGGACCGCCTACCGCGGCTGGCCAACTTGAAAGCGAATCACTATCTCATCGATCATCTCTGGCACATTCACGAGGACAAGCCGGAGACTTGCGCCATTCTCTGAGTTTGTAGCAGTTTTCGTTACTATTGTAGTATGTTACACAAAGCACCCTGAGATCTGCACACTGAGTAACCGTCACAGCAAGCCAGGCAACAGGCGGAGCATTCTTGCAACAACAAGCAGCTTGACAGCAGCTCGACTTGCAAAAAACGGCCTCCTCGTTCAGTCTTGATGGATCCACTGACACGGTAGGGCGTTCGGTCGGTCGGTAAGTCTTTCGGTCTGCGCAAGAGACCAGAAGGATTGGGAAAGGTAGTATTTATTAGTCCACCAAAAAATTGCACTTCATGAATGATACTCAGCGGTAGTCATGAAGGCAAGAGCCCCCAACAAGACCTTGTCGAGACGCTCAGGTTCCTGGACGTCGTGGAGCGTTCGATCCAAGCATGAACGCTGATCGTGACACGGAATGCAGCAGGCGATTGACGAGACTTTGAATCATGAGTTGCGGAGCTTCTTGCAGTTGTTGCATAGAGCCATCCGCAGTAACGGCCCGCCGTTGCTTGTTAGGTGGCGGCTGTCATAGCCCATCCTTTCGCTCTGCGGTCAGAGGCAACCACACGAGTTATGAGGATGACCTTGTCGCTTACAGCACATTCGTAGCGAGTGCAACCTCCTTTCTAACAGAAACGAGAATACACTTCTCTTGGAAGAAGGGAGAGAGATAGAGAGCATTGGATGCGCAGGTGGGTACAAATGTACCTGAATCAGGTAGTTGAGATGGTGATTCTCCACAATCAGGTCCTGGCAGCGCTGCCGTAATACTTCACAGTCAGACTCGTTGCGCTTGGCCTTGCCTCGGGCTCTGCGGTTCTGGAACCACACCTCGACTTGCCTAGTCTGGACGCCTAATTCCATCGCTAGCGTGCTCTTCTGGTGCGCATTTGGCCGCTGCAGCCTCTGGAAGGTATCCTCCAGCACACGCAATTGGGCCTTCGTAAATCTCAACTTCTGGCTGGATCCTGAACACCCCCCACATACACACAAAATCTAAGGCTTCGCTCATTATCGATCGTGGCTTCTGGTAGCTCCTTAGCGTTATTTAACCCCATATCCAGCGCTAATTGTAAGTGGCGTTACTCAATGAGAGCACAAGGCTGATGCATACTCTCTATTCATTACGTCTGTCAAGCTAGGGACTTCGCGTTTTTCCACCAACACAGCAAATGCAGCTCTTCACCATCTTCAGAGTGCTTCTATTACAGGATTATGAAAAGTTCTGAAGCTTAGGAGCCTCGAACATTTTCTACTTCTCACATACCATTAGAATTATGTAATAGACATCTATCTAATTGCATCCTCGAACTGGCTCGATACATGACATGTTTGGATGTTCCTACCTTCGTCATCGTCTTCGTAGTCCTGGCTGTTGTCGCTGCACCGGCCAGGAAACACCGATCTCAACATTTCCCGCTGCTCCTGCAAGGTCATTGCACTCGACAGGGAGGACTCCGCGCACTCGCAACTGCCCATGTTTCCAGATGAATAATCCTACAGTTTACAATCACCCACGTCTCACACTTCGTAAGGATGCCCTATGGAGCATGTCAATCCGCTCTACCTTTACAGTCCATGATCATGATGTGCCCTTCATTAATTTCTCGTCCACCCCAAATACTTGACGAGTGAGCTCAGACTTCCATTTGAATTCTAACAACCACAAAATATCGCACGAAATCACGTAGACAGCTACTGAATTCCATTATTTCGTTGGAAAACTGTGAAACAAGGTCTCTGACCAGCCAGTTTGTTGAAGGAGCACTTTCATCGCAAGTATTGCTTTTCTTTTCGAGCTTTTAGAATGTCATCATGGGTCGATGTTGAGATTTCAGAACACGGAATGTATCCTTGTGTGGCTTATAATCTGCTATCTAAATGATTTTTTTCCAGAACCATTTGTACGGCTGGATGACCGATCTCGTAATTTCACACAAGTGATCGAGGCTTACGAATTGCGAACTGATAGAAATTGCTGAAGGGCTTACCAGGTAATTCTCACGTCCAGGAAAACTTGATCTGTTGTAGTACGAATCGTAGCTGGAACCCATTAGAGGTTTCGAAATACGAGGTCGTGTTCTCTTCAAAATTTATCAAGCCCTAGGAAAGTATCCAAATGCTGGTTAACAAGTGAAAGTACCTATCAACATGAAAAAAACGATAGTTGGTCAGCGATATCCATGTGCAAACACCTTCGGAGCCCTGTAAAATTTAATCAATCGGGTAAAACAAACAATCATTCATTTGGTATTAGAATTCCAGGGGAAAGTTATTCTCAGATCCTCACTAACCGCAATCGACCTCTACTCGAGACGCTTGAGGCATGCTTAGCCGATACGTACTTGAATGTATACTATGCTTTCCCTTGAAGCGGATGCTGGTAATTGAAAAGTAGCTATCCAACACGATGGACTGGGAAGCAGAGTAAGATATTCTCTGAAAATGAAGGTTAATTCTGAATCCTTACACAACCTCTCTTGAGGAAGAAACGGATGTTCGATGACATGAAGCCTTGAAGTTGGTCACTAGTCAATTCGCAGTGCGAACTCAGCTCATACCAGCTGTTGTTTATTTAATTTATTTACAAGATGTATGTTGAAGCTAATCCCATGCATGAGGCAGCACGTCGGGCACTCGAGAATCCCGTAGCTAAGGTTGTGTGAAGCAATGCAATTGTTCCGAGGTCAGGCATCTTTGCTTGACTATCGACACACAGTGATGAGTGAGGAGGTTCTACGGAACACGGATAAGCATTTAACATACTTCGCTTGGCTGAACAAAGAAATGTTTTGAAAGATCAGGCAGCTCAGGTGAACAAATTCTCCAACTTACGTTACAGCTGTTTTCAAGTACTTGGTTTCTGGACTAAATTACTTCAGTGTATTCTGCTGATTTTCACACTACGGTCCTAAACTAGTTCGAAAAGTATATTCAGATGTAGCAGGGCTCAGTTACTTCACGGCTCAACCCCAGGAGTAAAAGCTTGAGTTAAGCAACTCTAACGAAACGCGGAAGGGAAACAACTCAGGTGATTTGGATTGTAAGGTCAGGGGAGTACCACAGCTTTCAACAGATAACATTAGAATATCACAACCGCTGAGGAATTGACTATCACATTGGTATATGAAGGCAGTGTATGGAATGCCTGACACGAAAATGCGCAGTTTAACTATGAGATTTAAACCACGACACAAAACACCGCACTCGTAGCCTGTGTCGGTGCATTGTTCTGAATCACCTACTCAGAGGTGGTCTGATGAAGAGAAATTTCGAGACATGTAGCAACGTGGGTGATCACAACTAAGTTCGGCTCGATCTTGAGGGCCGCAACAGGCAGCAGATCTCGAACACTGGCTACACGAGGATAAGCACACGTGTGGAGAGTTCAAGGAGGAGCTTATCTAGATCACGGTTCGACTCCTGTGGCAGCAATCCCTGCGCCCAAGTCAAAGAGTGGGACACACCAGGTAGGGAATGAAAGCCTATGCAATTCAGAGAAATAAAGCTGAACGATTGTGATCAACCCAAATGTTGTCACATGGGCATTTGGTTAAGACGTCAAGCGGGAGGTAATCTGGTGTACCTGATTCCTAGTTTGAGGGTTGATCCAAGATGTTGACAACGAAGGAAAGAGCTACTCGGGTGTATGACACAATAGAAATCGGAGCCTTCACGACCGAAAAAAAGCACTAGTGAGAGCTGAAACGCAATATGGCGTCCGCTAGATTGCAAGTCCAGTTCACGTTTCGCATCGGTAGAAAACAATAAAGGAGACTATCCCAATCCTTCATACCCCACATGCTCTCATTGACGTCTACGGCTCACTTTCTTAACGAAGAAATCGACTGACCCAAAGCTTTTCCAACTGCAAAACTCGTACAGGGTGCCCTAACCTCGTACTCAACTTAATGATGGACACTTAGCTTGTGAGCTATAAGTGTGTGTGAGAGAGAGAGAGAAACCTACGATGACCGGAAGACTGAAAGCAATCGTGCTGCAGCTGGACACCAGGCAAGTTGCTTGCAGATTGTAACCACCGACGTGCCACAGACTGGAAGTGCTGGTTACTCTCAAATCCCACAGTGATCCGGACTTAATTCCAACCCAGGTTCCAATCTGCTATCTCGGTTGTGCCACAATCAGCCTTTGAGCGAGCATAGAGGTAGATATGCATGTCACCGGATGAGGAGCTTCAGCTGATGACCCTGGAGGTGGGTAACTAGTTATGATGTGACGATTTAGAGCGTGGCATGAGCAACGACACCGAAGGACGACACCGAAAGGACTGAGGAGAGTCTGAAGCGTAAGTCAAACAACGCAATCAAGGCACAGAGAGCAAGAAAAAGCTGGGCCAGGTTGCAAGCGAGGGGGTGGCGCCGCCTTGCAGTGCTGCTCGAGCCCAGTGAGTCGCGAGGGCCCACCAAGACTCGCCCCCGACGCTTTCCGAACTTCAAACACCCCCCCCTCCTTTGCCTTTTTACCGGTTTTGTCTGTTGTGTTGATCTTCACTCATCACTCCCCCCCCCCACAAAAAAAACTTTTATTAGCCTCATAATCCTCTTATAATGTCTCCAGTACATCGCCGGTTTTCTCTATAAATACCCCCTTTATGTTATTTTCCTGCAGTAAACTAGGCGCGTGATTTACGATCTCCCAGCTAGCACCGCATTCATCAGCACCGATTACCGTCGTCAGACCATTTTACTACGCCTCTGCAACAACATCTTTGTTCCTTCAAGCAGAGCAATCACCCAGTTGTTACACCTTGACACTCCATGAACAGCCACAATCATCAAGCTCTGAATCATACCACTAGCCTGTTTCCAGGTTGATGTTTTCTGTTACGAGTTGCGAACCCGCTCCACTTGACGATGAAATCACTGTAGAGAATAGACCCAGTTGAATCATATCTGTTGTAATCTTCCCGCAATTTGCGGTTGCAACATCGACATCGTCATGGGAAGGGTACCGGCATCATAGGTGACCCCCCCCCTTTCTTTCTTTCTTTTTCCTTCTTCTCCTTTACATGTCAATTCCTCAACATAATTCCCCAAGTGGTAATAATGGATTGAAATGCCTATGTCAAGCCCCGAACCGAGACGAGGGAGGCGAGTGTCTGCGCATTGCCATGAGTTTCCGGGAAGACAATTATGGTAACAATAAAGTGCAGTCAGACAATCCCTACTATCTCTCCCTTCGAAGTACCTATAAAAATAAATCATTGGAGATGTCAATTAGTCCGCTCAATCAATCCGAGTAATCATTTGGCTTCCATTTAACAATAATGCATTGTTCGGTTCGGTTCAAATAAGGCTCACGAATTACATGGAGTGCGTGGAAGCCACACCACCCCTCTTGCTATAGTTAGGGGTCTAACTCAACTCAGACTAATTAAGTTAAGCTGGCCACCGTGGTCTGTCTTCCAGGCTTTAACTTTTCACAGGGTCTCTCAAATGTAGGCTTTGCACTGTCCGGTTTTTATGATCTCCTGAGCCTTTGCTATAACACCCATGCCCTTATTTTAGCGGTGGAGCTGGCTATATGCGGTGCTGAGTCTCTTTAAACCAAGCCACAGAGACCAGAATGCCAACTCAGAAAGGGGCTTGATTTCATTAAATGGGGATTTTATGGGGGAATGCATCTCCTGTGAGATTGCAGAGTTTTATTTATTTATTTTGTGTGTGTGCATGTGTAACCATTGCAACAACAACCTGCAGGGAAATTTAATAATCGGGGCTTAGTATGAGCGGATAATTATATCACCTTGCCAGGTATCTTTTTAAGACTAGTGTATATATATATATATATATATATATATGTTTTTTTTTTTTTTCTCCCACTGTCCCCTGCCTATGTAATAACCATAGAGTCAATTTAATACTGTATACTTTCATTCTTTCATTTTTATTTTTTATTTTTCATTTTTTACTCCTTACTTGCTTGAATGGGCCATGGGAATAATTGCCTGAACCGGCCACACAAAGAATCGGGATACAGAATAGTGCTTTGCTCATGGTCGGTACGTAAAGCAACTAGATTGGACACTCCACAAAATCACAGAATAAGGAACAATACAGCCCAAGCCATTCTCTTTCCTTGGGACTTGGGCTACCCTTAAAAATAAATTTATCAAAACAAAATAACAAAAAATCTATTCTTAAAACAATAACCAGAAAAAATCTTGTTGTTCAGTCCAGGTGTGTTTATGTCCACAAATTGGGTTGAATGAGACACAAACTATCTCACTCTGAGTGGACTCCTTCCTTCCTTCCTTCCTTCCAAGCAGATTCAATTCTAGAGGCTATGGAGAGAGATAAACCCAACAGGTTCAGTCTCCCAGCAAATGCTCACTGGATAGGAGATGGGATACTGAAACCTAACTGCCTCTCGAAAAAACAGCCAGCAATAGCCAAAGTATGACCCCTGTCCTATCTATCTAGCTATCAATCTATATATCCGTATATATACATATATATATATATATATATATACATATCATGCTGCTTGGAACTGTGGTTCATTCCAGTCTCTAGACTTACTACCACTTTCTACAAGGTGACTTCCTGACTTTGCTTCCTTCCAAGGAACACTACCACTATTACAACAATTTACTATATATATATATATATATATATAACTTAACTGAATGAATGAATGAATAAATAATGCCTGCAGTAGTAGCAGCAACAAGAACAACAGAGAATTGTAAACCTTGAGAATGTGACACATACTTTTTCTTCAAGTCAACAGTAAACTTTTTTTAGAAAATATAAATAAAAATGAAAAATCTAGTTTCTAATTATGGACAGGCAAACATTGTCACAGGTAGACACAATTGAAGTAGATTATGTTGATCACAAGTAGATTATGTAGGATGTAGTGCAAAAATAATTTTCTGTAAGATTTTTTTTAAAGCATAATATTTTTAAAAAATGTGATAGGTTTATTATTTTATTCTGTTTTAGACTTTGCAGATAATATTCAATTGTTGTGTAGATCATACACATGTGATCCAACTAATTTCATATTCATTAATATTCATACACATATATCACTCAAATCAATTGTGAGTTGTAGTCATGTGCAACTTGGTTTTTTTTTTTTTTTTTTTTTTTTTATCATTTCCCTTAGGTGATTGTTCAATGAAATTTATACAATTTTCTAATCACAGCATGAGCTCATTTGAATTCAATTCCTAAACAATAAAATCAGTATACATCTCTAATAATGTGCAATTTACCAGCACTATTTATTTTCAGCATGCGGGCATTTAATTTATGATTGTTTATTTGGTGTTTCACTGGCACAGCAAGTTCCAAATACTAATGGACAATAAATCATACATATATATATATATATATATATCTAGAGAGAGAGAGAGAGAGAGAGAGAGAGAGAGAGTAAATGCACCTAATATCCACAAGTAATCTCTTCAATTGAAAATATGACCCAGAAATTTCTCCCAACAACAACTCAACCTATAAAAATTTCCATGTTAAGCAACAAAGTTAATAATATTTGAATGAAAAACTGCATTTTCATTTTATTTATTTATTTATTTTTAACATCTAGGGGGTTAACTACTTGAGCCGTAGGTTTCCATCAGGTATGAAGGAGATTTTACTGCAAGGGATTGAACCCATACCCACTGCATTTGCTTCAGGTACCTCATGTTGTCATGTGGTAGTTTAGGGTCACCCTGGACCACATTATCAACTTTCAAAAAAAAAAAAAAAAAAAGAATACACATGTCAATCATAGACTGCTGTTCAGATAAGGGAGCATGTACATGACATCTTAAAGAAGCAACAATTATTTGATGGGCATTGATGGACACAAACAGGAAACTTATCTTTCAAAGAATGAGAGCTTGACTTGGAGTTAAAAATTATGGGCTCTTTTAAAACAGATTTATTTTGGTATGTTTTCTTTTCATTCATTTTATTGTTAAATTGATAAACGAAGAGACCAAACAATGTTGTGTCCCATGGAAATGGGGGCAGGGCAAGAGTAGCCAAATCAGCTATAGTGTCACCAACTGGGG